TAGGAGCACCTACTTGCATTTGATCAAGCCATAATGTTAGAGCGACAAGTGCAGCCCCAGCAGACAATTTCCGGAAGTCAGCTCCCCAGTCCTTCTCTATCACCCTGAATCATTCACATGGAAAAAAAATTGATACAGTAAGAATATATTTAATAATGCCACTTTGGATTTTTCATATACTTGTACCATAAGGCAATAAGATCATGCCATCCAAAAGTTTTAGCTAATTTCTACCAATAAACAAAACATATGGAGAAGTAAAAAAAATGTCAACAAGATAAGACCTACTGTCATAAGAACTTCACAAACAGATGAAACGAAAACAAAATTAGACCAGGCCATATTGCTCACACGTCTCAACTTTGTAGCATCAAGCATACAAATATACTCCCTCCGTTCCTAAATATAAGTCTTTGTAGAGATTCAACTATGAACCACATACGGATGTATATAGATGCATGTTAAGTGTAGATTCATTCATTTTGCTCCGTATGTAGTTCACCTAGTGGAATCCTTACAAAGACTTATATTTAGGAACGGAGGGAGTAGTATCTATTAGGAGACACTCTTTGGGATGAAGCTTAGTCTCTAGGGACAGCATGCCCAAACATTATGGCAACTTACTTTTCATTCGTGTATATCTTAAACCAACAGTTCTGATGAAAGATTTTAAATATTACGAGACTAGATCTGCTTTTCTAAACAGCTTTTGAATGCTATCCACAAAGTTGCTGTCTGTAACTATCTATCATTTATTTCTTTTTCTTGTGTATATCTGGACAAGAACTATCAGTGTGTGACCCACTTATTTTGGTGAAAAATAAAGTACATGAAATGCATATTTCAATGCACAAAATTAAGTACAGCTTCTAACAACAAAAATAAGAATCCAGAGTTAAAGATTGATGTAAATACCGAAAGATACTGTGACGGTATATGCTTCTATTTACTGCCAACTGGAAAATGTATGTAGCAGTTGCTCGACGCTCAAATGCCCACAGCAGGTCTTCTAGTGCATTTACAAAGTTCAGAGCAGCAGAATCTTCTAGTGTCTCGAGTTCTTCTAGAAAACTGTCAACCTCAGTTAACAGGGATGGAGTCCTCTCAGTCAGGAGCCTGCAAAAGATGCAAGAAGTTATAGCCAAATTTAGCCTGTGAAGTATGTCCCATCATTTTGAACATTGTCAAGTATGGTGTCAACCTAATAGGAAGGTCAAATCCACAATCTTGTAAAGAGTTTAGGAGAAGAACGGCATCATCAGTCCGCTCGCACAAACTAGCAGCCCTAATGAAACATGTCCAAACTTGATGGTCTGGTTTTATACCATCTCTTTTCATTTCCAACAACTTTGTGATTCCAAGATTGTAGTCACCATTTTTCAAGTAAGCGTCAAAAACAGTGCTGTATGGTAAACTGCTGACTTCCAAACTGGAACATTTCAAGCTGTTCAGCACTTTCTCAGCTTCGACTGGGTGCCCCGCAGTCCCATAAGAAGTCATGAGGATGTGCATAGTGGCAATTGTTGGTTCGATGCCATCTTCTTTCATTGCTGCTAGCAGTTGCTCGGCTTTGGAATGGTTGCAGGCATCCCTGTGCATTTTCATCATCACGTGATATAAAGATCGATTTAACCGATAACCCTTTGATCTTATTTCCTCGAAAAGCTGTTCACCTTGCTCCCATAGTTTTGCTTTTCCAGATGCCACAAGCAAGCTTTTATAGGATTCTAACCTGGGTGTCAAACCTCGTTTACCCATCTCATTCAAGAGAGTAAAACCTTCTTCAGGCCTCAAGTTTCTACTGTACATGACTATCAGTGTATTATATGTATCTTCATCAGGCTCTAAGCCAGCTTCCAAAATACTATGGTATACTTGTACTGTCTTGTCGAAGTCTCCGTTCCCAGTATACATCAAAAGAAGGGTATTAAGTATGACTAGATCCGGCTTGAATCCTGCTGCCTCCATCTCCGCAACCATCAATTCAACATCCCTGAATCGTTTATTACGGCAGAGCAAGGAAATCATACTTCTGTAGATGTGCATATTTGGCAGGTATCCTGCTTCCTTCATCCCATTATATATTTTCATTACCTCGAATACATCCCCAGCTTTTGCAAAAGCTTCAAGCATTAGGATTACTGTGCTTTTGCTGATCTTGAAACCCATGTCTTGAAGCTCCTGAACAACCACAAACAACTCATCTAGTCTGCCATCAATAATCAATGCTCTCATCATTCCATTAATTGAATCAACTGTTGGTAGAGGGCCCTTTTTAATCATAATGTCAAAGACTGCCCTTGCTTGCTCATAAAGGCCACTCTCGGCATAGGCATGTATCAACGCATTCCAAATTCGCCTGTCAACACCTGCCTCTTGATTCAGTCCTTTCACGAAATTTTCCGCATGCTGCCAGAGTTTTGTCTTTCCGTATGCTTCGATTATGGTTACTCTAGATGAAAGAGTATTTAGCCAAACACCAGACTGTACAGCTTCATCCATCAATTGGTGAGCAGTTTCTGGGAAGCCCAATTTACAGTATGTAGAGATCATACTCTCGTATATCTTCTGGGAAGACTCTACGCCAATAAACTGCATATCGCAGAACACCTGAGAAGCTTCAGGCAAGAATTCAGCCTCCTCAAGGCATGTAATCAGGCACTCATACAAGTTACGATCTTGGCCAAAAGATCCACACATTAATGTCTGCATACTGCTGTACTCTTGAAGGGCAGCAGCAATCTTCTGATTTTTGCACAGAAGCATGATGGAACATTCAGATATCAAGTTATGGGAGCTGGGGACATGCTCCCGGATGCATTGAAGCAAAGAGAGACCTTCTTCATGCTTTCCCGTTGTTTCATAAGCATCCAGAATGGACAGTAAACTCTTACTGTCAGGCTCGTGTCCTTGTAGGCATGCCTTCTTTAACAGCTTAGCACCCTGAGAAATGCAACCTGCCTTGATGAGTATACTATATACCAGTTGCTGATCCATTTGACAAACAGCCTCCATGTCTTGGATAACTCCTTCAATCTCCTCATGTTCATTTCCTTTTGCAAGTGCAGCAAGCATAACCTGATACAAGGTGTCATCTGGCATGTAACCATCCTTCATCATTGTCCGATACAGAGCCATCAGCTTTTTCGTCTCACCAGACCTTGCGATAATGTCCAGCATAACCAAATAGGCTAAACGATCGGGTTTGACACCTGATGCAACCATGCGATCAAATGTCTGCTCCGCCTCGTCCCGCCTACCGCCTTTGGCATATGCACATATCAAAGCACTGAAAGTTACCAGGGTTGGCTTTAACCCTGCATCTACCATCTCCTCCAGCACCTTCCCTGCATCAGAAATCCTATCCACCTTCCCCAGAGAATCAATCAAGACAGTGTAAGTCACAGCATCCGGAGTGCAGCCTATGGCTCTCATCTCATCATAGAGACCAAGTGCCAGGTCAAGCCTGCTCATTTTCCCGTACATATGAATCATGGTATTGTAAGTAATTCCATCCTTCCTGAACCCAGCCTTAACCAACTCCTCGCACACACGCTCCACCGCGTCGACGTCTCCTTCCTTCGCAAAAGCATGAAGGAGAGAATTATAGGTAACTGCATCCGGCTTAAAACCCTTGTCTAGCAGTTCCATGAACATGCCCTCAGCATCCTGTGCCGTCCCGCACCGGCCATGAACTGACACCATGGCATTGTATGTCCACAAGTCTGGCCGACACTCTGAATCAATCATCTCTTTGAACACCGCCATTGCATCGTCCAGAATGGAACCTTGCGAGCAAGCACTAATCAGGGTGTTGTAAGTGATAACGTCCGGCCTGAGCCCAGCTTGCCGGACTTCGTGCAGGAGATCGAAGGCGGCGCCAGGGGCTAAGCACCCGGACTTGGCGCTGGCATTGATCAGAGTGTTGAAGCTGACAAGGTCGGGCTCGATCCCCTGGCCGCGCATTGCGTCAAGCAGCTGCCGAACGTCGTCGAAGCGGCCGGAGCGGGCGTACACGCCCATCATGGCGTTGAACACCTGCACGGTGGCGCCCTCCCCGGCGAAGCGGAGGAAGACCTCCTCCGCGAACCCGTCCTGGCGAGCGCGGCCGAGGACCCCGAGCACGACGGCGACGACGCGGGGGCCCGGGGCCCCGTCGCCGCTCGCCACGAGCCACTCGAAGGCGTCGAGCGCGCGCCGCCAGGAGGCCGCGCCCACGGCGCGCACGACGTAGGCGAGCTCGTCGGGGGAGACCCACGCGTCGTCGAGCACCTCTGCGACGGGCGCGCCGGGGGGGAGCGCCAGGAGGCGGCCCGCCAGGTCGGACACGCGCTCCCGCCAGTCCCGCGCCCGGCGCAGCGCGACCTTGCTCAGTTTCTTCAGCCTCCCGCGGTGGGCCCGCGCGTCCAGCGGCTCGACGGCGACGGCCGAGGGGCCGGAGGCGGAGGGCGCGGATGAGTCGTCCTCCGCGGGCTCCGGCCTCGCCGGGGCGGGAGGAGGAGGGGCGGCGTCGGCGGCGGGGAAGCGGGGCGCGGGGAGGTGCGGGAAGCGGAG